AGTTATTCAATCTTTAGAGCCATTAGACTTGTAGCCTAGTTCTCAAGTTGAACTGAGTTGGCTCCAATTGTCTTCGTTATTGATAAAATGATCAGTTTCATCTGAGGGTTGCATCTGCAAAGGTAGTCGTAATCACAATCCTTTTTTGGTCGCCTGACTTTAAACCTCTATAACTCCTTACCCAATACATAGATATCTTCTAGAGAACTTTCTACTAATTTGCAGAAAGCTATTTTACCGGATTGATAAATATTCTCTTGGTCAGCAACCCTTGGTTGTTCTGGGTAACTCTGCGAAGTCATATATGCATCCTTCTTAAGTCGCCGACTTCAAAGCTCAGTATCTTGTAATCCAACTAATAGATTCTTATCCAGTAACTTTCCTCTTATAGAGGAAAAGTACTTCTATAAGATAGAATCATAATTCCTCTATTGGAGGTTCTCAGTTGTCATGCAGGGAGCCTGGCAGTTGCAAGCAGCATTGGTAGAAAATAACTCAATACCAGAAATAACTTTGATGACAACAGGAGTTGAACACGTGACCTTTAGTGAAGAGTCATATGATATTCCAATTAAGCTATGTAACTGAGATTGATATGTAAGATGACATGCGAGCCCCGTAAGGAGGCCATACGTCATCTTACATATCAATCTCTGTTGCGTCCTGTGACTATAATGCCACAAAGTTAAAGGTGTCAGAGTAATACTATATACATTGCCGCCATCCATCCAACCAAATCCTATTCGCCAGATATATGAGAGGGAATATTCCACTAGGTCTGAGAAGTGGAATATAGTAATTCCGTCAACTACTCAGAGAGTTACTAGGCTTCAAAGATGTAATATCTTTCGCCTGTGCCGTAAGTAAGGGGATGTTTTTGCACAAAGAAGATGGTACCGAATAGTAAATGATTTTAATAAGAGACCAATACATTCACATCCATCCTACAATAACCAGGAGAGTTTAGAACTCCAAGGAACACTACTATAGAAGGTAATAGACTTCACAGAGTACTACAACTAGGTTTCAGAACATGTTGTAACTGGGAGGATAACTTCCAATACTACAACAGTGGTTGAAACCCTGTTACCCAGAGCTACCAAGAATTGCCAACCAAAAGAATATTAGTCAATCGAGAAGAATATATTTCTGTGAATTAGTAGAAAGTCCTCCAGAGAACACCTATTGGTTGGGTAAGAAGTTATGAATATTTAAAGTCAGGTGACCTGAAAAGGTTACGATTACGACCTCCTTCACAGATGTAACCCGCAGATGAAGCTGATCATTTCATCAATAATAGAGACAATTGGGGCCAACTCAGTTTGACTTGAGAACTAGGCCATAAGTCTAAAAACTCTAATGATCAGATAACTACTATTGGGAACAGTGTGGTTTCTAGTGAGTTATATTGTAATTACCAAAAAGGGTGTGGTGATTTTCAAGGTCTCCAGGTGTTTGCATTTTTTAAGAATACCTGACGTTGCGAGTTATAATCAAAGAGGTACATAGTTGTATATTAAATAGCTGTAGTCCACGAACACTCAGATGCAGAATATAAATATCAAAGTACCTCCAAAGCTTTAAACATCATCAAGTAACAGAGAATAGATCTTAACAATATGATATTGTTTTTACAATTCTATCTTACTTTACCAAATTTACTTTGCTCTTAGTAGTTATAAACAAAACAAGTAAATTCGAGCCTTCCTAGACAATCTCCGTCTGCAGAAACGAATCTTGGTTAGCCCAGACAACTCTGAAGTCTATCAGATTGTCTCTGTTTAACAGAATGAACCAGCTCAAAAGGTTCAGAGGCTCACTTTACTGGTTATCTTTCAAACTGCCTCTGCTGCTTAGCATTAACACAGACAGAACAGCTAACACTAAACCTATTATCCTCATTCATATCTTTCATTCCAATCAATATTCTGACTGAGCGAACATTCAAGTACCTAAGGCATTGATGCTAATGCTTCAATGAAAGAATATGAGATTTTCTAACAACACTTAGGCCATCTCATTCACGATTTTCTGCAGAGGATAACCCTACAGCAATCCCAGACAATCTCTAAAAGCCTTGCTCAAGGTTGGCTAATACAGCCAGTATTGCTGAATTCGAATTGTAGCATGTAATGTAATATTTGCTATGGTTAAATCTAACTTCAAATACTCAAGAAAGCTGACCAACAGAAACAAGAGAAGAGATGAGACAGGGAACAAATAAGGTAACAATATTGATATGATATGTGCTTGGCCACAGTACTAGTCATACCTTGCCTTGAGCTACTGCGAGAACCCAGACCTCATCACCTAAATAGACTTTGATTTGAACGGGAAGGTGTTCCAAAGTTTGGAAATCAGATCAGTTTGGTGACATATATTGTGAAGCTCCTGAGTCAACAAGCCATGAAGCATAGCTAATGCCAGAGCCATATAGTTGTGAAGAAGTAAGTATAAGTGTGTGGCTAAATGTAGGTATCTGAGCTACATCTACAAACTCATGGTTTTCTCCTCTGCTTCGGTTGGGTCTCCATGCTTCAAGTTCACGTCTCCAAGCAAGACAATCATGACAAATATGGCCCCCTCTACTATTATACTAGCAGAGACCTCTTGAAGTAGACAAACTCTGTACTCCCACTCAGCCGATGATACCCTGTCTAGTTGGATAAGAGTGGTTCTATGAGAACCACCCTCTACCTCAACTGCGAGCCACCATCCCAGTACTATAATGATCATAAGATTTTCCACCTCACCGGCATCTGTAACTACCACCTCTAACCTCTGTAGTACTAGCTTGTCATCCTAGCCAAGTAGTATATTGTATAAGAGTCGAACTGGAAGTAATTGAAATTTGAAGAGGAATTCTCTGCTTGACGAGAGAGTAGAATTTTCTCCCGCTTAAGCAGACACTTGATAAGGCTGTCAATAGTGTGTTGACCTTCTTGTTTCACTAGAATATCGACATAGTGGTCATACTCCTTCAGTAGCATGGATAGCAGGTGAGACTTAAACGTTTAATCAGTTATTTCTTTCTCAGTTCCAGCAAGTGTCTTCCAGAACCGAAGTAAGTAGGCCAAGTAGTCCTCTATTGTTTGTCCTGGCTAAGCTCAAGTTTGGTTGAAGTTCCGGCATACTTCAAGCTGACCAGCACGGGAGTTAAGAGTGTCAAATTTCTCCCTCAGCTTTTGCCACATCTCTGAGGCACTGTTAATATCCTTCACATACTCCTGCATGACTGTTGTGCAGGAGTTGTAGATTATTGCAAGTGCTTTCCCTTCGTGAGCAATCTAATTGGAGTGGTTCTGTTGGTCCTCAGGTAGTGGTTGTTCCTCCTCACCTAAGGCAATAGCAAGACCATTCTCAGATCAAAGAAAAATCTGAATGCTCTGAGCCCATTGACAATAGTTGAAGTTGTTCAGCTTTGGGGTATTACCGTACTTCGTCCAGTAGATTTCATCGGTTGAAGTGGTGATGGAACTGGAGTCCTTTACGGTTTGCATAATGGATAGAGGAAAGCGGACTCAAGAAAGAATAAAAGAAAGAAAACAGTAGAGGAATCAAGACCGGCAAGGAAACTCTTCCTTTCTGGTAGAGAAGAAAGAAAACTGTTTTCTAAAGCAAGGAATATTTTTTCTGCGCATATCCCGGGCTCATAACCTGTTGAAACGACTGATGGTTGATTAAAGAAAGAGAGGTGGGCGTGTGCCCGACTAAGTATACAAGAAAACCCCAGTCACAGTTTCCAGCCTCATGCAGCCTCACTCGCCGCCGTGTCACCGCTACCATGCTACTGCCACACCATGGCCTTATGTACTTCCCATGGTCATCTTAGCGGATATGGAAGGTTGCTCCAACATGTATTGTCATTGCGTAGTATACCTGCATGGCCGAGTTGAAACCGGACACCTAAGGTGACAATTTCCACACAAAAGTATCCGGCTTCAGCTTGGCCGTGTGAGTGCAGCACTAGTATTATAGCAAAGTTTAACATGCGATCACGCCCAGCCGGTCAGACATAGGCGTAAGAGTAGACAAATTTTGTGCACAGGAATTATGGATTGTGATCCAATACCGCCGTTTAATTTTCCCAACCCCTCGCCCTATGCACCCACTGAAAGATTCGCCCCTCCCGCCCCATCATACTCCCCGTCCCCACATCCCAGAATCGAAGCGAGTTGGACAGGCGCTAGCGTTCACGTTCTTGCTTGGAGGGCGGTAGAAGCGAAAGAGTGGGAAGCGAATCCCGGTAGCACAGGCAGAGCACGGCGTTGGCATCGGAGAATGTTATGGAAAGCGAATTTCAACCATCACCGCACTACGATTCACGAGACAGCACTTTCACAGAGCGAGAAAGACAGAGCAGCCCACTGCCGCTCTCGATTCGATTCAAGACTCGTGCGGTATCACAAGAACCTACCACACGGTGACACCGACCCGGACAGTCCCCGAAAAACGACATACACCCCGCCGCCGCCCTGCGGGGGACAATGTTCCATCTCCCGAGACTACGCCACACCACCGCTACCACAAGCAGGCTCGGTGGGTACAGTGCTAGTGCTTGTAAATACCTGTGCCTTTTCAACTAACAAGAGCGGATATGTACTGCATGGGCACTCGAAGTGGCAGTCTCTCTTTTGCTGACTGGCTGGTGGAGTTTGGTGGTGATGGGGTGTTAAGGTACTCGGGTGTTGAGGTATGATACTTGGGTATGCGGTGGGTGGGGAAATACGGAGATATAGGTAGGTATGGATAACAAAGGAGGAGCGGTTTGGAGAGAGAGGACACTTGGCTTGGGTGGAAGGGGGAGGGAAAATTGAATCGATGGATGGATGGATCGTGGCCGACAAGGAGACGGACAGATGATTCGCATAGGGGGTCTATGCTAACGCATAACAGCAGAGGTATGATATCATAAGAGAGATGGAAGAAGAGAACGCTGTATTCCCCAGCCCAGAGTAGAAGTAGAAAGAATGGGAAAATCAAGAAAAGCCTCTATCGTACAAATACCCGCGACGGCGACGAATAAAAGATATCGTCTACTGTAAGGAAACATATTACACCATACCTTCCTCGAGACAGAAATAGAGTTAAAAATGAAAAAACCGAAGTCCGTAAAAGAATCCAATGCAAACGTCGCCTATCTACCCTAACTCTAGCACTCCCAGCACTTTTTAGACAACTTCGTGAAACCCTACTCCTCTACCGGCATGCTCATCCGGGAGCATATGCCGGGTCAAGTTCGCAACAACCGCGTTTCTGGGTTCCTCGTTGAGGTCTCTTTGTCTCATAGCCTCGTACTCATTACCCTTTCTCGCCAGGCAGTCTGTAGCACACGTCCCCGACCAGTCAGTCAGTTGATCCATCGAATCCATCAGGAAGAAAGGGTTATTAAAAAAAAAACCCCCCTGTGGGGTCCGCTTGTTCATCCCCAGAACAAACAAGCAAAACGAAGCGGTAACACTAATTCGAACTTACCAGCAAACATCTCACCCCCCATAAGACTCCACAAGCTATCCCTCCCACGCGCAGCATTCTGCAGCGCTGCCCTAGCACTTTTCTCAGCCTGCTCGCTAACTACGCCCGAAAAGAATCTGTGACACATGAAGCTAAGCAAGATGAATGTCAACTGCTGATTCGTTGTTTGCGTAGCAAGCTGCAGGGCCAAACTCAGGTAGTTCTTTGTCTTGACCAGCTCGCCTCGCTCCGTGGCTTTGACGGCCATGTACGCCGCCTTCATGAGGTAGTTTTTGGTCGATGTGCAGGGCTTCTCTACCGTAGTCATCAAATGTTCTGCTGCACGGGAGTCGCGCGGCCGGAGAATTATGATGGAGTTCAGTTTGGAGATTATTGATATCTCTGAATCCGGAGATTGGACAGTCGTGTAGACTAGTTTATAGAGCTCTAGGGCCTGGTCCAATTGGTTCGTGCCATGGGATATTACGGCTTGTAGGTAGGTGATTAGTGTTGGTAGGAGGGATCTTTGAGGTGGTAGCACCGAGAAGGCTTGTTGGAGGTTGTTGAATCCCTAGCAGGAAGTGCGGTCAGTATTACTGGGGCATAGTCTTACTCGGGATCAAAGGGAGTAATCACCTTAATAGCGCCGTCCCAATCTGTTCTCACGCAGAGGAGGAAAGTGTGGTAGAGCATAACATGACATTTCAGCGTTTGCCTCCATGTAGACTTGTTCATAGCCCCCACAAGCGAGGTCGTGCCAGCGGGATCTTCCTTCAATAGACCTGAAAGACCGTCAGCACCCAAGAACAGTAGTTAAAAATAAATAAAAAAATAAATAAAAAGCAAATATTAATATGTCCCGACTCACGTTCTATAGACCTGAGGCCTTCCTGCAGGTATTTCTCCCCGCGCCCCACTTCTTCGACATTTTTCTGGAACTTGCAGAGGCCGCTAATGAAGTATCCCAACACGAAAATATCTTCTTTGGTCAACCATTTGAACTTTAGTTTTTCCTCGGGTCTCCCGAGCCGCACGGGATTAATTAATATTTCAAATTCCCCACTGGGCGTCCATATCTGGGCCTTTGAACTATGGTCGAGCATTCCGTGCAGTACCTTGACCTTTACCTCGCTCTCGCTATAGCGCCCAGCCATGAGTGAGCACATGATATCCAACATTTGCCGTAAGATACCCAATTGCTCCATCCCTTGCATACTTTCCAGCTGTAAAGAATTCGCTCTTGCCAACGCACGATTGGCCGCCTCAATTCCGTCAGCCCCAGAAGAAACCGAGATCATTGTCTCCATTAAGCTTGCGAGTAGATATATCCCGTGGTCATGACGTGCGGCTGCAGTACCCGATATCTTTTGAAGAGTAGTTATTGCGCCCTGCTCATCGTGTAGTGGGGAATCCTCCATCAGGATATTACATCGAAGGAATCGGAACGAATATGTCCAGTGGACCATATCGAGGCTGTAGCAGTTGCAACGTCAGCTGGGTGTCAGTGGGGATATTAGGAATCCACATACGTCTCCGAGTCGGCAATACAGGAATTGAGCATCTTTAGAGAAGCTTTTGGGGTGGTTCGTAGCATAATACGCGCAAGAAGATGTTGCATGGTGTATTTGATATCGGTGAAGTTGCCCTACGGGCGCATTAGTTTCCCGTTGCTCAGGTTGGTTCGAAGAATCGTTACCCTTTGCGCTAGCATAATCTGTGAGGGGGAAAGTGGGGGAAAAATTAGTTACCAAATCCAATTGTACGGTGCGGATAAAGCCAACATACTCCTTTATTTAAAGCATCTTCAGCTTCATCCCCATTCTCCGTCTCCTCATGTAATATCCCAGCATATCGTAGCCTGACCATAGCTTCTAATCTTGGTTGAAGTCGGCACTATCCGCTATCAGCTACGATGTTTCCCCTCCATCCCATATCCCCCACCACAAGTTCCTACCTGCAAAGCCGCCTCCAGGGCCCTCAACCCCGTAGCAATCAACTTATAATAGGCCTTCGCATCCCCACCCCCCTTTGCCAAAGCTGCTCTGTATCCACTCGCATGCGCAGCCTCAAAGTAACCCTCGGCCATAGAAATCAAGGTCAAGTGCGGATCCATAGAATTAGACTGTGTGCTGGGAGTATTCGGAGTACCGCTATTCGAATGACTAGCAGGCCAGCGGTTAACCGGAATAGTGATTTCGAAGTTACTGTAGCGGTTTGTCGACGGCGGTGGCGGCTGCAGTCGGATCGGGGTTGAGGACTGCTGACGACCTGGTGCGATCGGGGTTGTTTGGTGGTAAGGATTTGAGCCATAGCCATTGCTATTATTGCTGTAGGATGGCCCGGGGCCGCTGTTGTACCATGCGCCGCCGTTGGGTGTTGTCATGGTAAGGGCATAAAATGTTGCGGGCGAAGTGGTGAAGAAGCTCTGGAGGGTTTAACTTAGTGGCAGGGATAGAGCGCGACAGTCGGGCTAGGGTTGGGGACGAAAAGAGCTTAACTTAATGCTCGATCGGGAAGGGGAGGTTACCCGGCGGTTGCCATGTGCTTAGTAAATAAGGTTAAGGGTTGTCAGTGTTCCCGAGCTTCACACCTTGAGAAGAAAACGTTACAGATACAATACTGTAAGGCCCAAATGCCCACAGCCCCTTGACAGTAGAGGGTTTGCGCAAGGGGACCTAGGTGGGAGGAAAACCGGTTATCTCAAGTTAAGCTAAAAGTCAGGGTCACCCAGGTAGGTGGCGCCACCTGGAATAAGTGTAAATACTGGCTTCGAAGACCTGAAGAACTCTCATCAGTTCATACCATGACACCGGTGAAAGAAATACCGTATCAAATCAATACAAGTCAACTTTGAATACCCAATACGTACAAAATGCAGTCTCTTTCCATTCCTGACCCCAATCATACCTATTTTCTTTCCTCCTTTAAGTCAGCCACTACAGCCAGTTCCACGACTGTGGAAGAGTCAGCCGCCGATAACTCAAGATCGAGCAATTCTCCTACAACTATACGTCCGGGGTGGAGAACAACAAAATGGTCAGCATGGATGGATCGAGCACTGGTACGGCAAGTGTTAGCCACAGATTCTATAAACTGTGGTAGAGGGAGGACTACTGCGAAATGGGCAGAGGTTTCTACAATTTTAGGAAGTATAGAACCTCAACCCATATGTCGTAGTGGAGAGTCCTGTCGGCAGAGAGTTAAAAAACTTGTTGAAATATATAAGGTATATTAGAAATATAAAGTACTTATAGGAGATTGTTAATAAGGAAAGAATTAGAAATCCGAACTCATCTCGTTGAGAAAGACTGGTACCGATGAAGAATTCAGAGAGTTTGAGCTCAATATGGTAGAGCTTGTAACCCGATGGGACCAGTCCAGTACCGATCCCGAGACACGAAAAGCTGCACAACAGAAAGCTGCACAACTTGAGGCGGACAGAAAGCGAGTCCGGGAGGATTCTATGTGAGGGTTAGTCCGGGAGAGAGAAGAGAATATTGGAGTCGGGCATAGGGATAGTGGAGAGGGGGTAATGCCGGTAAAAAAAAAGGCAAAGAATGTAAAGGTAAAAGATGTGGATAATGTTTTATATGAGTTTAAGGAGGGAATGAAAAGAGATGGAGATGAGTTGAAGGAAATTGAAAAAAGAGAGGATGAAAAGCATCAAGACTTGATGCATGCAATATTGGGACTTACAGATGAGATGAGGGAACAGAGTGAATGGCGGTCTCATGATGCATATTTGGAGTGCGAGGCAAGGAAAGATGAGTTGGTTTTAATATTGGAAGCATTAAGGAAGGATAATGAAATTTAATTTTTATATCCTTCTAATATTGAGGGTAAAGACAGGAGGTATATATCATAAAAATGAATGAATACATCGTCAAATTCTGTCATTCTTCTACCAATCCCCTTACATATTAGTTCTATTCTATTTCTACATATTTCCCACTAAAACTATCTTAAAAGCTCAGGAACTGTATTTTTACAATCTTGATTTCAATAAACCCTGCCCGTTCAGCTCTCTACACGGTACATTCTTCTTCGGGACTGTTGAGATTGTAGCTGGTTTGGTAGAGATTGGAGATTGTGATATCAACCAGGAAGACTATACTAGTACCATACCTCTAATGTAGGCCACTTGTAATGGGCACAAGGGGGTGGTGAGAATACTATATAGACAGATCAATGTCAGTCCCAACAAGCCAAATAACAATAGTTAAATACCACTCTTGTGGACCACTTGCAATAGGCATGAGGAAGTGGTGAAAATGATAATGGGACGGCTGGACGACATCAACCCTACGATAGCCAACATATATTGTGATAAATTATACATTTAATTATGAAAATACTCAAGCAATAGAGGGGGTTCAAGTAGTTCCTCTTCAATAAACTCTTCCTGCTCATTACCTCCATTATTCTCTTGGATAACATTAAAATACTGAGTGACTTGAGGCCTATGAAGGCATACATGAGCATTATGCAAGAGTGCAGCTACTCTAAACTGCACTCCAACAGGTTGAAGTAAATGCTTTTGACCTTTAACGTAATCCAAAAATCCGAACATGTTTACCATCTCTTTAAAGGCCCATTCAGCTACAATTCTTACTCGTGATATCGAACGATTCCAAAGCCGCTGATTGTGAGATATCTGAGCGCCTTGATATGGTGAAAGAAGACTGTTACTGATGCTATAGGCTGGATCACCGTAGAGTTGAAGGGGGGTACCATCAGGCATATGTGCATACCGTTCCAGAATTGCTGGTAGGTTTGACTCCTGCCACAGAAATGCATCATTTCTTCGGCCGTCTACTGGGCTAAAGAGATGGCTAATCAAACCATCAGGAGTAATAATGGCATGGTACTTCAAGCAGTGCTTGTGCTTCCAGCCATTATAACAAGTACGTTGTCGGCGAGAAGGGCGTGCAATTCCTCGAATTGTGCCATCGATAAAGCCCCAAACTGTTCTGATTGGTGCACCTTTCCTCGCTATAACAGATGCATACTGAGCTAACTTATCGGGGGTCAATCGTGCAGCATCCCACTCAAGTAAGTGTTTCCACCTATCATGAATCATTGACTGTACTGTGCTGCTAATACGAGATATGCGCTCAACTGGCCAGCCAAATTTCAAAGCCAGGTCACTCAGACGATTGGGGTATGCTAATCGTGCAAGTAGCGTACAAAGCGCAATTCGGCGATTCTCGATAGTACGGTTGTCGGCTCTGATGGTTTCTGGTAGCTGTAAGGCCTCTACTAGCTGTTCAATTTCACGTCTCGTAAAACTTTATTTGTAAGTCTTCTCCTTCCCTTTTATTTTAATGTACAATCATGATCTCTAAACCTACCAAAATAGATTTTGCCACTCCTGCTCTTCCAGCATATCCAAGTCAATTCGTCCTCCTTCTCGAAGCACTCCTATCTTCTGAATGTTACTTCGTGTAACTGCTGTCCTCAGGCGTAATAAGGCTTCAAGTCGTCGTGCATTTCGCTTGTATTGGAAATGTGAGGCTAGCATTCTTGAGTATGTTTGAGTTGCTTGATGTCAATTGTGGGTTGTTGTTTACACTTTTTAGATATATCATTCCAAGACTATGTGTTCATTCTGCCGTCATCTATAATCACCACCTAGACCTGTTGCGCAAACTTATTTTTCCACCTAGGTCTATTTTCTGTTAACCGCCACCTAGGTCCCCGTGCGCAAACCCTCTAGTATACTTCTGGCATCCACACCTATAAAAGGGTGATCAAACAAAAAAGGAATACCTGTTTGACTTACAAGTACTCGAGTAATGCACTGTCCATACACCTAAATTTATCATACAAGGCATAAAACCACTCGACAAAAGGTTAAATACTCGCTGTCGAGGCCCACCTTATTCGATCACGCAATCAAAATGTCCGACTAATCCTGCAGCATGCCCAGGTCGCAGAATGCGTGGAACCGTAAGGATTTGTGAAAGGCCCACATCCAGACACAAGGAAATTGCATCAGAATCTGATGTAAATTACTTCGTTGCTGATGCAATTATCCAATTCTTTAATCTGTCACCCAACAGCCTACTCCTCCTCAGAAGTTAAGAGTTGTTTCTCAATCTGCACAGCCTACGGAATTGGGAAATTCTTTCACGTTTAATTTGATGTTCAAGTCTAGGTTTTGGCATATTAGATGCTTTCGATGGCTGTGGTGAACTATGGGTAATTAATTGCCTTTGGCCCCGAAGGCCTGTATCACATCTGCAATTCTCTTTTCCAGAAGATGTTCCTTCCTTAATTTAACTCTCCTCGTGACTGAGTTCGCTCATGCTTTTTATATACACACTACAAGTAGACTACTCGAGTGCTGTATTTCATAGTTTCTTGGTTAGTTGTTTCACCCCCACATCCTGTTTCCCGCTTCCGTATCTTAGCCCGCTTCCCGATTGGGTGGGTACCTTAGCACTAGGCACGACCCTTTCTGCCAAGCTGCTCTTCCTACTCTTCCTCTTCATCTACTCAAGTATGAGAGAACAACTTGTTTATTGACCGAGCGAAAACAGTATGTAGGAAAAGTGATATAATGGCCTACTCGAGTACTGTACAAGTGCGGGTGATAGATATATCAGTCACGTGAAGCCTGAAAAGGGAATTTGGTGAACCTTCTTGTTACAGTCTGCACAGATAAGGCACATGACGGATTTATCTATCGGACTCACTTGAACTTCCACCTCCCAACCACTACCACCCCAGCACTCCCGACACTCCCCCTCCAATAACCCCCAACAATGCCCTTCTGGCCTGCCCACCCAACCTCCCACCACTCCAACAACCCCATAACCCTAAAAACTAAAACTAAAACCCTCCCATTCCCCGCCCTCACAACTCCCCTCCTAACCCCTTTTCACGCAAACCCCTTCCTCTTCAATGGGCACTTGCAAACCTTCTGGACGGCCGCGAAATGGGATGACCCGCACGCAATCTACTATGCCCGGCAGCTCTTGCGGAATCCTGCTGACGGCGGGCACTTTGCTGTGGACTTTGTCGTGCCCGAGGCATCCCCCTCCACTCCCGCCCCGGCGGCGACAGGAGGGAACCTACCATCGCGAACGAGGGATATGACGGAGGAAGAAGTAGCAAAGCTTGGCTCTGATGACGACACACCAATGGTCATAGCTCTACACGGGTTATCAGGTGGAAGCCATGAGCTGTACCTTCGATCCGTGCTAGCGCCGTTGACGAGGAAGGTTGAAGAGGGCGGTAGTGGGTTTGCTGCTTGCGTGGTTAATGCCAGGGGATGTGCACTTTCGAAGGTCACAACGGGGCAGTTGTTTAATGCCAGGTTTACCGAGGACCTCAGGCAGACAGTGAGATATTTACAGGATGTGTACCCGAGACGGCCGTTGTATGCCGTAGGGTTTTCATTTGGGGCTAATATTTTGGCCAATGTGAGTTTGTGATTCTCTAGGGAGATTGGGGGGTGAGGACTGGCTAATGATGGGGATGGGAGTAGTATATCGGCGAAGAAGGCGGCAAGTGTGCTTTCAAAGCTGTAGCGTTATGCTCTTGCCCTTGGAATTTAGAGGTTGCAAGTAAGGCTCTACAGAGGACTTACTTAGGGTCTGAAGTCTACTCTAAAGTTATGGGGGGGTGAGCATTTTCCCCCACCCATATAAACCTCAATTGCTTACAATTCCCTAGAAACTTGAGAAACCTCTTTGAAATCCACATCGACAACTTTTCCGGAGACCCCCGAATAGACGTTGATCTTGTCCGTCGCGGGAGATACCTCTACGAGTTTGACCGGTATGCCTACCCTTCCTTATCAATCCTTGATGTATACCGCGACTAATATCGCAATCGTAGTGACTTCACTGCACGAATATTTGGATACCCTACTGTCGGCGCATACTACAGGGATGCGTCTTCGGTGGATAATCTTTTGAAAGCTCGCGTGCCGACGTTTATATTACATGCTAAGGATGACCCTGTATGTCTTATCCCACACGCTTCTAGGGGGTAGTAGCTGACCCTACCAGATTTCGGTGGACGAAGGAGTCCCGTATGACGAGGTCAAGGCCAATCCGTACTGTTTCATGGCTACCACTCCTACCGGGGGTCATTTGTCATGGTTTGAATATGGAGGTGGTAGATGGTTTGCTAGGACCGTGCGTTTAATTGCTTTTACTGTCTCTCAGTATGTTACTGACATCATTCTAGGTCGTAGATTTCTTTACAGCATTCGCAAGAGAAGTGATAGAAGTTAACCCCGTCGTAGACGAAACACTGAAACTGTAGACCAGCACTCGTTTGTTCGGCGCACATATATAATTATAGAATAATTGACACGTGAATAGACCAAATAATACCAAACGCCTTTTTGACTTCCCACTTTTGAAGAAGAAGAAAACCCCACGTCGCGCAATGATATATTACAAAAGCCTCCCCTAGATCCTTCACTCGTAGCATATATTAGAAGGCAAAGCGGAGGTTAAGTGAAAGTGACCATTTTCTTCCTCCCTTTAGGCGTCTTCTCCGACGAACTTTTCGGTGCTTCGGGGGCAGCCCCAGCAGACTTGCGCTTCCGCTTCTTCCTCACAGCATCCTTCGCACCCTCCTATCATCCCATCAGCCCAATTCCTCTTTATCTAACTGAGAGTAGAAGAGAGCTTACCATCCGACTGTTCCTCTCCGCCTCCCTCTTCTCCTCCTCCTTCCTCTTCTCCTCGCGAATAGCTTCCAACTGCCTCTGTGAATTCCCCCCGCTGAATCAGCACCCCTTCCCCCTAACGCAGCAGGAAGGAATACAACTCACCGCCCTCTCCAACTTCGATCTCTCCCGTCCTTCAACCCCATCACTAACCCTATTCAAAATCCCCATCATCTTCTCCCGATCTTCGACGAAGACCTTCCCCTTCTTCCTCCCCTTCGGCTTGACCACGCCAGCCGGAGTAACCATATTCAGCTTCGGCAATTCCTTCTCCAGCCTGGCGAGGAGTGCTTCGCGCTGCTTTTTGGGGTCCTTGTGCTTTTTATTGTTCTTGCCGATGGCGACGCCGGCGGTTGTGTGCGTTTTCGGGACGAATTTCTTTTTGGGCTGTTTTGCGGGAGCAGATTTTGATGAGGGGGCAATGGTGGTGGGTTTGCTGGAGCTGGGTTTACGGGGGTGGGGGGGGTTGGGAGCCATTGGTGGCGGTCAGCGGTGGTGGCGGGAAGGAAAGTTTGGGCAGTGGTGCTGGTGCTGCTTGTGGTTGATGATCCACGTTGGACGTCGCAATGAAGAAATTTCGTGTGCCCGGAACTAGTGTTGTGGTATGGGAAGGTTGTAACCCGGGTCGGGATGCAACTAGGGAATCCAAGGCTGCAATGAGAGGTTTAGCCAAGATCCCATCCCACTCACGATTCCACAAACAGAAACCCGAAAGTTGTGGACCGTATTTACTGAACTAGGGTATCTCATAGCATTTCGTTTCTTCCACTAGATTTTCCATTTCCCTCATGATCAGAGCCAATAAGCATTGCACCACATGCCTCTGGTGGGTGGTCACTGTGTTTTTAGGCTAGGTTATGCTGGAGTGCCTGCGCGGTGGAACTGCCCATGTACTAGTACGAGTACTGTACCACTTGGAGTAGTAGCCCGGGTGGGGAAGGGAGGGAGGGAGTGAAGTATTGATAACCAGATACCATGACCAGAGCCTCAAATGATATATGGAGTCGAAGATTGACAACCGGTAACTGCTCCCCCAGCAAGCAAGGCGTCCCCCCCTCTTGCACATTTCACCCTTGTTAGAGGGAGGGGGCTCGGAATGTGATATGGATGGCACCCAGGCAGCAGGTAGTTGGCACGGTACACGGAGTAAGCACTGGTTGCCTACCATACCAGCAGTGAAGGATGCTGTGCGAGACTGGATCTGAATGCTGGTCACGGACCGCACGTGCACAGTACCGGAAAGTGAGCTTCAGGGAGCTTAGAACGATGGTGGGGGGAAGTCATGCAAGGGATTTCCACGGACTTTCGGGTCGAAAGCCATATAGTGGTATGCACAAACCTCTTCGGCAAATGACAATGAGAAGGGCGAGTGATACCTTATGAACAACGAATTACCAGGGCCACCAATGGCGAAAAAGTGGTTCAACAGCACCAGACAAACCCAGTCATTTCCCCCTTCCCGGGAGAGTTTATCCTTCCAGTCGCTCCGACCAAAGTTTACGGATCCCTCTTCTCATAAAAATGTGTTATCATATACCCACTCGTACAGCACATTCAACGCTTAAATAACCCAGCATGATTACCCATAACCTCGCATTGGCGAATAGGGGGGAGGGGAAAGGAAACCCGAATCCACCTGCCAGCCAGCAGAATAAATATTCGCTTCGATGATGACATCACGTGGTGTGCCTACCCGCCCGCTATCCAGCGGAATGCTCGAGTCGTTGGAGGGAAGTAACAATGATCCTGGGGTCCTCGGAAACTTATCATACATCCCACCTTAAGTCGACCCCACAATCCCCGCAAACAATCACACATGCCGGACCGGAAGGGAGAATGTTGATAGGAGGGAGCTCTTTATTTGTGCTCCCTCTCGGATTCTTCATTCACTTAGGAACCCCACCTTCCTCCATGCTTCTTCCTCTTCCTCTTCTTCTTGCTATTGTTTCCCCTCTCTTCGTCGACCTTTGCCCCACGCCCCGTCGATGAGGGTGATCATGCATCTCGGCGTGGATGGAGACGGGAGATACACAGGCGCTTCGACAGTATCGTGTTCGTGAATAATTGGGCTACTCTCATTCCGGTGGCTCACTGCCGCCGTACCGGATGAACGTCCTGTCGGGCAATCAACCCGCCCATCCGGGCCTGCTACCCTTGCTTCCGCTATCGGGTCCCGCATATTGCGCTGCAAGATAAGGGTGGGGGAGATCGAGTGGTGGCTAATGAAACTGCATGCAGCTCTCCTGCAAACATCCCGCTGTTATCGCTGATAGGCGTTTGCGAGATGAAGTGCCCGGCAAGTCACTTCGGATAGCTCCTACGTGGAGGCGTTGAGAATGTCATACCATACAGTGATATTACGATTTCTTGAAATAAATCATGCTCGAGTTAGAGCGAACTTAAAGTCGAGTTCTGAGGGGAGCAGGGACAGGATATCCGACATACTGGACGAATCCCCAAGATATATCTCATTACCGATACCAAAGCACAGCTCTACTAGTAGAATAAACATACCACTTATACACAACAGCCAAATACTACTCTAAAGTACGATGGCATACCTAAAATTACCATTCTAAATCATCTTACCACAACACTTCCCCCAACATTTACCTCTTACAACATCACTCTGACCCTTGTATCCACACACTCCATTTGTTAACACTAAGGATGCCCGATTTGAATTAAAGAAGCACTACAATCCAGCCCCAACCAATCAAACAGACACACACGTAAACCAACTAACAGAAGACCGGAGCGAAAGAAACCCCAACACCGTTCAACAGCAAACCCCGCCGAATAACTCAATACAAGGCCAACCCTCTTCCGCTAATTTACCGTAGAAATCTATTTAAACCTCCCCGCTTTCGCATTATAGAGGTTTCGTAGCTTGTAATACTGGTACAGAAAGAGAAAAGGAAAAAAAGAGTAAACCCCCCAGTGAAGCAAAAGAAGGAAAGGAATAGGAGTCATTGTCACATCGCTAGCTCAAGGGACGTAGGCGCCGTTGGTATCGGTGTGAGGAATGGGGATCCTTTTCGCCCTGTTATTATAGCTCTCGGGGAGAATCTTGAGAAGTCAGTTTTGATTTGTAGGAACAAGAAATACTTTATAAGGACTCACTTCAACAATTTTGTTTCTTGGAAACTCCAAACTTGGAATATCAGAGGTCGAACAGGCCATCAGATACCCGTACAAGACTCTCAAGACACTCTCGTGAGCGATGATCAAGAGGTCGTTCTTCTCCCTCTCGAGTTCGAGAATGATAGGTTCCATTCTAACGGCAAGATCATGGTAGCTCTACAAATTTCAATTAGGCGGCGCACCCAAACGGCAGCATCTTCCTACATACCTCGCCTCTTGGGAACCTATGATGATAAGGGTCAAGTTGATGCTTATCCCAGTCAGCTGGGTAATGCGCCTTAAACTCTTCCTCGGTCATCTCAGAATTCCCAGGGTTCATTTGACTCATTTGGGGCCTCTGTTTAACTTTGAAGCCCCGTTCCTGAAGATGGGCAGCGGTCTGGACTGTCCTACGTCTAGTGCTAGTCCATACAGTCAAAGGCTTCAATTCCTCATCACTCCCGCCCTGCTTAATAAACTCCTCTCTCTCCTTCCTGCGATGCTCCAAAAGAGCATTACACAAACGCTGAGAGTAACTCTCCCCTTCATCACAAAGCAAGCCATCAGCTTTATAGGAATCCTCTCCAGTGGAAGCACCAGCACGGGCAAAGTAAGTCTGGCGAGATTTGATATGAAGATTCATCAAATAAAATACGATACGGTTAGGTAGATAACCGAAACGACAGTTATTGACAATAATACGTTCACCAGCGTTAATCATCTATTATCACTCGTCAATTGTTTAAGGCTATATCAAATCGGGCACTACCCACCTTTATGTAATTAAGCTCGTGCTCGTCCATAGTCTCGAAGTGGGGGATTTTGGCCCCCATCCGGCGGATATAATCCTGGACCGCATCATTCGGGTTCCATCCTTGGTACTAAACAATTTATAAGCAGCGAGCCTCCTACTACATTTACCAACTGATAGCTCACATCAGGCGAAGAAATTTTGACACTCCTAACATTCTGCTCGATAATCTTTGGATCGTCGACATAGGACTCGATGAATATAGTCTGCAAGCGCCGGGGGTCTCAACAAGTTGTCACAACCGACCAGGTAGGGTTCGAACCATGTACCTGAATCTCATGCTTCAAAAACTCCTTTGAGAGTTGTTTACGGCCTTCAGCAGTAGGATTGACTGCATCGTAAATAGCCACCTGGCCCATTTCATGATCCAGGAAATGGTAGAGGTCGAACCTACATTTCTGAAGAATAGTCTGCCGTAACTTCACAGAAGATGGGGATGCTATAGACTCGCAATAGTTAGCACAAGCACAGTGCGTTATTAATATATTTCTCGCCTCCGCAGTTGATGGACGGGGACGAGGGAACGTGGGGCAGGTGTGCCGTGCAACGGGACTAGTGCAAGAAAAAAAAGTAACAACACATAACACCGCCCAAGTTGGGGTCCGACCAGCCTCGGCGAAGGGACAGCAAATTGAGAATCAGGGATCCCGCAGACAAAGAGGAGCCTCACCGTCAACGAAGAAGTAGTCATGTGGAACATCATTCCCGTGGCCCATGTGTGCACGCCGATAATCGCCCAGATGGAAAGCACGGGTTTTCACACCCAACCTGTATCCGGGCCATGTGAGCACAGTACATATATCAAGCAGCCCAAAGCGCGGATCAGGAATGGCCCAGGAGAGTTATCGAACCTACCAGCGCAGATACCTAGAGAGAGCCACAGAAACGTGCCTAAACATCCCCGACCACTAGAATCAGTTTCCCCGAACGTTTGTCTGTCTGGACAGCAAAGCAAGCACAAGAGGCGAATAAATCGATTCCTTCATTTTTATCTTTACCCCCGAAAAAAGAAACGTACGTTTTCCCTCTAGCCGGTAACCCAACAGTTACGATTGCGATCTTTCCCGAGTGGAACAACCTACCGGACTCTGTGGAATACAACTGAGCCGGGGCCATCTCACTATCGACAGGAAAGTCATGAATGGCATCGATGTTGACATTGGACCTCCGACGGAGACGAGAGACAGGGGCATCATTGCTGCTATACTCGTACTCGTAATCAGCATGGAAACCAAACCAGTCTACCACAGCCCGTGCCATGATAAGAATGAAGGAGAAGCTCGATGTGACAATGCAGTGGCAGGAAGGCTACAAAGTGATGTACGGAGGAAGAAAGAAATATCTGGCTAATCCCGGAAAGCGATGAAAGAGTGTGAAGGGTTTAGGCGGGTTAAAAGAGAAAGGTATCTTGGAATGGGAAGGGAGGGGACATGAAGTGGAGCGGAGAATAAAGATTATAGGGGGAAGATAACTACTGTAGTGTATCCATGGTAACAAATTATTGTTATTTTGTTTTATTGTTTTTTTTTTTTTCTCCCGGCAAGATGGGCGAATGACGCGGTGTTCCTGAGACACGCGGGGGTGTGTGAAAAGAGACTGTGGGGGGGGGGGAGTGAGGAGGTGAACGGGCCTGCGGGAGGTTCGCGATAATGACGAGAAACAGTGACAGACGGGAACCCCGCGATAAAGCAACGATGATACGGGTTCGACGGTAAAGTATGATACTGCAGAAAACGTCGTGGGCAATTCCGTTGCTGTGATACGAGCGTCGGTATCGATATGGTGCCGCCACCGCCGCTGCTGCTGCTGCTGCTGCTGCCGCTGCTGGTCAGGTTTTTTACTGGTGCCCCCCGTAACAGATGAAGCAACACAATTGACAAAACGAAATTCCAGGTGAGAAAGGGCAGAGATGGAAAAGAACTCAAAGTAGAGAGAAAATGAAAAAGAAGCTCACTAATTCAGATGAATTCAAACTCAGTTAAGATAGCCGCTATTTTTATTTTTTTTATAGGACGGAGACAAGTGATGTTGTTCCGGTAGGTAATTCAGGGGGAGCTTTCGTCCTTACCTTCTGCTCACAACCGAACTCTGGGTCGTTAGCGCCAATGAGGAGAAATGGGTGGTCTTGGCAATTCTCAAAGAAAGAGTGAATAATGAGTTCTGATAAAACTAATTATCATACTCGCATCACTTTTTACACCGCATAATAGCCCCGCAAATATGACTTCGTGGAAGGGAAGATAGGAAAATAAGTCAAATTTTTGACTCGTGCCAAATTCTTATACCTCAGGGTCTGCGGCGTTAACGCACGCCCCCACCCACCACACCAATGGTGGTACTGTAGGTATCCCCGAAACGCTTCTACTGTATGATATCCTTTTCTCCCCACCCGAGATTCGCATCGAGAATGCTATCACCCATATGGCTCAGGCTCCTACCGCGGACCAATGGTAAAATTGATGTGGATTCCTGATTTTCCATTGGAAATTGCTTTTTTTAATTTTTATTCCCCCCCCCCCACCTTACTTCTAGATATCTTATGATCTCATCTCCAGGATGTATAGCCCAATGACTTAGCACCGGTAGTTATGATAAGGTTTGTTGTAGCGGGGAGCAAAGGATAAACTACGAGTATTCGAGTACGGATAACAGAAAACGGTAAACTTAAAATCTCCGAGCCAGAGTGGTACCAGTGCTACAACTCCTTGTCAGAGGGCATAATATATTGATAGCACGTTGGCAGGATTTATACTAATCTAGTTAGCCCAGGGCCCATGCTTGCGCCTCTGCCGCAAGCTGTGGATTCCCGAGTCTTTTGAGTTCGAGGGTGACCCTCCAGCATACACCCAGTAGCACAGAAACGAAGATCCGGCAAATAGATATGCCTAAAACATAAAGGCCTGCGGTGCTACCGTTTCTCATCGAGGTTCCCCGATGCAAGTAATTTAGACTTTCTAGTAGAGTGCTAGAGTATCGTCCGGATTCATGATGGAAAACCCATAGGACCTCTCTGAAAGGCATTCAATTACTTTCCTTGAAGCGGCCCATGTGCTTCATCTGCGCACTCTCATCAGAAGCTGCCATGTGCCCCGCGTGACCACGAATCTACATGAACAGAAACCTACTCATGCCAATATCCCAGAGATAGTCACTTTAAACGAACGAAAGGCTACTGCCCAGCGAACCGCCTATACCACCGTTCACATATCAAAGCAGGAAGGGGTACGAGTGAGAATCTGTGAAATACTCTCGTGCCACGAGGCAAGGTTTTTTTGCACACAGCCTTGTGTGGCTAGAGATAAAAATGCGAAATACCCTTCGCGCATTCTTCAGCTAGAAGCGCAAACCTCACCAACCAAACCAACCCCCACATCCAACGGCCTGGTAGGGTCCCTGTCCTGACCCCCCAATGCTAAAATAATTAATCCCGAGAGGCAAAAGAGAAAAGTCACTTGAGGTACTAGTACTACTGTTGCCAACAACGTAACCCTGTCGGGATTGTAGGAAAGTTGTCATGTGCCTTTGGCGATATTAGCCCTTCGTTACACCCAAAATGTTGCTGAAGGGCAATGGATGAAGCGGATACAAGCAGGTGCTCGACTAGGTATATTAGCCTTCATCTGTTGATGGAAGCTGTAAGCGCTGCGCAAGTTGGTTTGGTGAGGGTTGGCCGGAGGTCTCGGACTTAGACACGGGTTCGTCCGTTGGCTAAGGAATAAATAAATAAAAATAAGTGACAACGGCCCCCGCCAAGGGTTCAGGGCGCAGATTTTCGATGTTCAGGGGGATGGATGAGTGTTGGAAACATAGGAAATTCCAGCGGCGGTGTGTGGATCGCGTTAAGGCGCCGTTTGTCTGGTTCTCGGGTTGGGCCCTTGCTTTTTCCTACCGGGTCCTGAGCATGTCTCAGTTCGCACTTCCACTACCGGCTATACCCTTGTTTTCCTACTTTCTCCAATAGTGCCGGTTGTCCCTTCCTCTTGCGGAGGGTGAATACCGGTAAAGCCAGTTGTGGTTGGATGTTGGATTGACGTCTTTTTCAGCGCGAGCACCTTGAAGGGACCCACTCTTACCGTAGAGTCGCCAGCAGCTCACCAATTCCTTGAGATGAGCAAATCAGCAACACCGATCGGATTTAACACGATAACTGCTCGACACCCAAGTCAAGTGGGGCACGGCTACCGTATGATGATGATGATGACAACGGTTATGACAATAGCTATGAATGAGAAGCAAGCAGCTGCCGGTGGTCTAATGTCCAAGGCTTGCGAGTCGCGTGAAAGTGAGGTGATCCCGCGCTCGAGCGCTATCATCCATACCACGGTGATATGATAACACGTACCCAATTGAAGCTGTAATATTCCGAGGATAGCTCACAAACCACAAGCACAATGGAGGAAAAAACAAAAAGGGCAAAATAAAAACACAAAACACAAGGAAGAGAAGAGAAGAAAGTTGCCTACTTGTATGATAATAGTAATAATCGTATCATAAGAGAAAATCTAGGGTTTTGGCCGCTTTACGGTCTTTCACTGCCGCGCCCCCTACCGAGTTTGATGGAAAGCCACCGACGTTAGCCCATACTGTTCCTCGCATGCTCATAGGCTCGAGCCCGAAACCGCCCCCAACAATCAGATCTGGCAGCTGCAATGTCAGATCTTCGTCCAGAATCGCTAGAGTCCCCGGATTTAGCAGGTCTATTTAGGTCTATTTTATCGCCTGTTGTGAACACATCTCTATCCATAACGTGTAGCCTGTCCACCGGGCAAGGGTCTTGTTACGTTTTTGTCTTATGATACATGTCGCTGGCAGTCTAACCTACTAAATCAATATCAGCTGTCCGCTCCAGTAATCTCAGGAAAAATAGAAAGAAAAAAAATGAAAATTAGGGCAACGGTTTTTACCCGCTGGGATACCATCCAGCAGCTTTATGGATCAGACGCTAGTCCCATCCATCCATCCATCCACCAGGTAGATCCCCCACTCCCTCCCTTTCCGGCCATGCAGAACGGCACGGCGGTAGAGGACCCGCCTGGATCCGCAACCCTTTCTTCAACCCCTGGAGACAATCAGAGCACATGATACGTTCAACTTTTCCCCGAGCGTTGAACTCCTGCGTTTCTCCAATCCTGTTAGTACAGTAAACAATTCCAACACGACCGGCCGCCCAAACAAGCAGGGCTTGGGGCGGGGGTGGGAGGGAGGGGAGGGAAGCTCTGCCTCTCGCCCTGCACAACTATCACACGTTCTCCCTCTCAGGGCCTAGACGGGAGATAAAGCATGTAAGGGACTTCTAACAATTTAGTTGGACCCTTTTGCTTTTTCGTTTCTTTTTTTTTTCCCCAGTACGAACGTCATTCTTCGAGCACACCATACCACAGCCAGACGATAACAGCCCTAGGCATGCAGAAGGGTGAGGAATTGAGGAGGAGAAATTCCCTCATTCTAAGGGTCGTGTAGAGGAAAAGTACATCTTTGCAAAGGTGGGCGTAGAGCTATTGGGCGAGAAGTGAGGGGCGTTATCTCGAAGAGTTTGTGTGAAGGATATCCTATGGGATGTGTACTCGAGTACGGTGCAGTGCTGTATGTATGCACTTACCGGTATGGCACGGCCCCACCAGACGGCATCCGGGTCCGGAACCCTCAACAGAACCATCTCCACCACCTATCACCACCTCCAACCCCCCAGTCCCCCCCAGTCGCTTTCGTCTGCGAGAGGGAAATGGAATGGAAGAGGTGAAAAGTAAAATAAAAATAAAGCAAGCCCCCACTTAAGTAGGTCGTAATCCTCCCACTGTGAATTCCAGCAATGCATTCAGCGAAACGACCAGTTGAGCTATCAGTACTGTACATACGAGTTGCACGATCTCCAGGACTCCACTCGTCCCCCCGCTGTCTATCCCTCTCTTTATGCCTCGCTTCCCTCTCGGGGCAAGTTCATGGGAGGATGGCCCGGGCCAGTAATTGATTAATTTGATTACGAGACTCGGACCTTTTCGATCTTGTGATACAAGTACATGATCGCGGGAGCGGGACTGGCCTAGACCTTAGGCTCTGCGCTGGTGGTGGATCTGCATGCACCTTTTTTAGCTCTTTGACCTTCAACCTTTACAGTATTTCAGGGAACAGCATCAGCAGGAAAAGAAAAAAGATAGTCGGCTGAGCACTTACAGAGAGACTAATCATCCACCGTACATTTACTAAGTCATCGCGCATGTTGGGCTGCGAAGTTGAGAGAAGCTGCTAGCGAACCGCCCAAC